GTCCACCTAATGATAGGGAAAACGTTTTATTTATCTTCTTACAACTTCTTCGGTTAGTTTAACTAATTTACACTGATAACACAATAATTTCACTTACTAACCTTCTTGTGTGCACAGGACTTCTCGTATCTCTAATTTTTTTGTCGAAACATAAATTCAATATTCAAAAACTGAAATCATAACTGATTGAAATTAACATACAAGCTGACTAGAAAATTTACTAATTCCATAATTAAACATCTGGTGTAACAGATTCACAAATCACTCATCGAGTATTCTAGCCTACTTCTTATTTTTATTGTGGTCAAATCCTTTCCTAAACTTTCAAGAAGGTTTTGGTTATTAAGCCATGCCTATCACATGGCATCTTGAAATATCCTCTAGCGAAATATGAATACAAGCAACTGAATTAAAAATGCATAGCTTTCAATAAGATAATAAGAAAAATGCCTGTTTCTGGAATTTACGACAAACTTCATCATATGTCAGCACTGTCTATAGGAGATATTGCGTGGTAGACATATCGTTGTACACTCTTCTTTACATTTATCTAGAGGTTCTTAATAATTGTAAGAAAAGTTTAAATTTCACAAATGGAGATTGGATATATACTACAGTGATACAGATTTTGTAGGTATTCTTTATTTTCTGTTTTTGCAAAATTTTTTAATGATATAGCAGTTGCATATCACGAAAAAATTATTGATTTGTTTTGTTTCAGAGGTAATAATACGTATAAAAAACTACAATATTATTTTAAAACAGATATGTTTTTTGTATTCCTCTTTACAGCTAATAGCCGTATATGGATAACATTCAATTGCAGTTGTTTGAGCTTGAAATTACGACTCTATATTTGTTTTGAGTTTCGCCCAAAGCTACAAGACTAGAATGAAGGCAGCTACTCATCATCACCTACCGCTAACTCTTGGGCTACTCTTTCACCAACGAATAGTGGGATTGACCGTCACATTATAACGTCGCCACGGCTGAAAGGGCGAGCATGTTTGGTTGGATGGGGATTCGAACCCGCAACCCTCAGATTGAGAGTCAAGCGCCCTAACCATCTGACCATGTAGAGCACGACTCTATATAAATTAATTTCTCAGTACAAGCAAAATAAATAAGTAAACAAGTTTAGCGTAGGTAAATTTACTTTATAATTCAACTTTCAACGAAAACAACTGTAGTCTGCCCATTTTCTCACAAAAGTTAAAAGCATGTTCTGATTGATAAAAAAATTCATAATTTCATAAATGTGTATTTAAGATTGTGTTTTGATTTTGCTATGCTTATTAGTCAATTACTATTCATATCTTAGAAAAAAGTAAAATTCAGGGTTGGACGACAAAAAAAAAAAATAAAACTCTCAGAACAAACATTAAAACTTCATATTTTGTTATTATAAAAGCATATATATATCAGAAGTAATAGAAACTAAAAGTTTATTTAGTCAAGCCTCAATATAAATTAAATTATACTCAGTCAATGCTACATAGATGAAAAAGATTTACAAACACACAAATGACAAGGCGTCACCTTGATCAACATCTGTTAGGCTTTAGATTCTTTTGTTGCCAAATTTCATATCTTTTTTTAGGCTGCAGAGCCTCCATGATCAAATTAGTTTAGTTTAAGCTATGTGATTTAATAAATGTTATCCCCAGCCTGTTTATTGTAAAATAATTGGAAACAAAGACTCAAAAAGAGCTAATATTTTAAACCTAATGATAACAAAATGGACCACTTAAATCTTAGAAATATCCGGATTTCCGGATATATCCGGAAGACTTTCATCATTATCTACACTACCAACCTCTTAAAAACCTTCCTGTAGCAAGTAAACCACAACTTCAAATACTTCAGCATTATGTGAAGATAACAGACTATTCATAAAACTAAAGTTTCCAATAATAGTAAGCCTACTTTATTTACAGCCTAACTATTCTGTTTAAACATACTGCTATTACTGTCAGATGACATATAGAACATGTCAATAAGTTTTTCTTTTCTTTCCAGAATGTCAACACATACTTTCTTCACATTATTTCACTTTTATTAGTATAATACCCACAGAAGAATTAAAAACCTTTCTAAAATAACATCTTTATTTAACAAAGACTTGGTAATACCATGACATCTAAAATGTTAACTACAAACCAAACTTCTATATCTGTCAACATTACTAATCTATTATAATTACATCTTCTAAAATCCGTCAAAATATTTTACTTCCTTGTTTCTAAACTTAGTGTAAATAGTCACTAAAAAAGTATCCCAAACACACTGTTTTCAAACCTACTTAAGTGAATACCACTACATTTGAGAATTTATTCCATAGATCCAGCAAGTTTACTTACTGATCTAGATATATACTTAATAATCTCCAAAACAATGCTTGTTTACAATTTTTTGTCTGCAAACACTTTAAAAAAACTTCTAAAAAATGAGCTGACAATTTATAGCAGGAACAATTATTTTTAATTATTTAAAAACTCCACTCATCACAAGCATTATTAAGTTAAACACGCCTACAAAAATTCTAAACTATCTTTTTTCCTGTCTACCATTAAATTATTATTTATCTTCACAACATGCTGAACTTTTGTTCTTGGTAAGCAACTGTAACCCTTGTTTTACTGCATGCAACTTTAAATGTAACTATCAGTATGCTGAATTATAAAATCTTCTACAAAAAAATTCTGTCTTTCACATCTTAGAGATGTTACAATTACCAGCATCCAAATTAAATTACTGCCACTTGCATCTTCAGCTCTAGCCTTCTTCCATCATGCATCTTAGTAAACCCAGAATTTTCCTCCTAGTAGCCTAAATTTTAAAACACTTTCAAGTTTCTTTCTTAGTTCTATAATATCTTCACCTAACCTCGTACCTTTCTCTTTCAGTTCTGCAATTTTTCCTTTAACACGAAAGTTTGATAAGTACATTCCAAAGAATTATGCTGATACTCTGGAAAACTACAGTTTAGTCCATTATTTTAAAAAATTATTTACCTTTTGTATTCACATCCTGCTCAGTTTTCATCATTTACTCCTTCAATAATCCCAATTATATTAACCAATAAGTTAGAAACACCACAAATGGAGAACCAAGCATCAAATAAAACAAAACTGAAACTATACAAGTAACAGAAAAAAAAAGAGAGTAAATCTATCTCAACATTCCCTACAAAAAACAATGCATGTTATTAAAAACAATGATGAATTAATTCACAAAGTGTATCCTGACAAGGATCATTTTGACAATACTAACTTGCCAGTCAGAAACATGGCCTTTCTATCACAAAGTTAGCTTGCTTTGTCAACTTCACATTGCTCAAGCTTCACCATAAGAGCATTTGTTAAACTTATGACAGAAGAATAGTAAAGACATGCTTGGGAGTTGCTAGCAGGAACAGTATTTGCTACAAATACATAACTAAATATTATCAACTGACCAAACTTTTATTAGTATGTTGTTCAGATCAACAAATTTCAACCCAATGCCAGTTGATAATGCCTCTACTGAATGCAATACGTGTCTATTATATAAAGGATGCTTAGAGTTCTCATATTCTGAATGCACTCTTTACTGACATCCAGAAGAAGGTTGTACCAAGTATCTTTGAAAACCTTTTAGGGCTTCACTGTGCTTTGTCTTAAATGTCAGGTCCAAGAAAAATTTTCCCTTCATTCTCCACCAATCTCTTAAAAAGCAATGTTTATCTTGGATAAAACAATAAAAACTCAAAGCATGGACAGTGTCATCTCTGGGAAAAAGCTGAGAAATTAATATAGGTTTTGGAGTCTGTCATTAAATGAAACTGATACTCCAAGAGTGACTCTTGTTAAACATCTGATACCCCATGAGTAAGTCTTATTCTGAATGTTTTCAAAAACCTAGAAAAAGCACCTGACAACTACATTACCAATTTCTCCTGTCACCAACACTGAAAAGAAGAAAATCCTTAATGATTACAACATACATAAGAAGTTTGTACTTCACCCAAATCCTACAGCTGCAAAAATTCTGGATCCTGCATACAAAAGAAAATTATTTTATGGCTTGGGTTGATAAAGATGCAAAATAAGTCTGTAGATCAACCCATTTATGTGGAAATGTCTGGAAAATGGGATGAATGGATTGTTTAGAAAGGCTGTCAGCTCTGATGTGGCAAAAAGATGTATGTGGATTGTCTACACTGAGCATAATGGCCCCTTTAATCTTCTGCAACAATGAAGCAATCCTTCCAAACACACAGTTTGTGCATACTAGGAATGTTCTGACTAACTTTAACAAGGACAAGAATGGTAATACATATTGCACTTAACTGGAAAATTTTCACCATAAGATCTCAAAGTGAAGGACATTATGAACAAGCATGCTCCACTTCAACTGGTCAAATTAAAAGTGGTTGTTGAAGAGAGAGGACAAGGCTAAGAATGTTAACAACACCAAATAATAGATGACAAATAATCAAGCCACAAATCTTCTAAAACAATTAAAATTAAATTTTTCTTCTGAAACACGACTTGTTCAGTCATTTTCAAAACCGTGTTTATTATGTTTAAAATTAATATCAATATTCAGAAGAAGTTATTAAATAATCTTTATACTAAAAAAAGTGCTTATTTTACAAAATAGCTCAATTACTACTGTAGTTATCTTACTGTTGTAAACAGTAACAAAGAAATTGTTTTATTTTTGAACAGTATTAAGAACACTTTTCAAATCAGTAACAAGTTATATTATCAAAATTTAAGTAATAAAACTTAATGATTTTGAATAAATAACTTTCAGATATTTAAAACAACACAATACAAATCAATGGCATAGAGTATAAATTATCACTGTAGATAACATTTTCAATAATATAATTCTTTAAATTAGAAATAATTTTACATTGCTACAGCATACAAATGTGCACCTTAAGAAAACTTCAAATGAAAACTACAAGATCTACATACAAGTTTGTTTAATACATAATTAGATCAACATACTTCTGGATCACGCTGGAAAATTACAACTCTTCCACCTTTGTCACCAGTGGCAAGTAACTCTCCACTATGGTTGAATTCAACACAGGAAATAATATCAGCTGAAATATGAAAAGAACATTACCAGCATCCAAATTAATGAAAACTACAAGAAACATTACAGAAAAATTTAAATAACTTTTCTGAACATTTGTACATAAAACACATTTTAAAGAGGAAAAACAATCTAAAATTACATTTCTGGACTTTCACTTACATACACAGAACTTTCTGAACCATTCTCAATCTTTTTTATTAGATGAAAGTTGTACAACACTGGTATACAAAATTCAACTGTAACCATCAATTTTCTCATAGCCTTCAACCTACATAAAATCCTGAAAACCTCCGGTTTTCTTCCTGAGAAACACATTTTTTAAAATTATTTATCGGATTTTGGTGTTCCATGCCACCAGGTAAGCGTTTATGCAATCGCACGGTTTGTTTACATTTGGCGACAGGGCGCCGCCATTTTGTAGTCTCGCAATCCTTGCTGGCGTGTATACGAGACCTTGTATGCTTATAATGCAAACTTCATGTCATGTGAACGAGATTTTATCTCGAAAACGTGCTTTAGAAAATGCGGTCATTCTTTTGTGTACCTTTCTATTGAGCGAGACAATTGAAGAGTCTTATCTATCCAAAGGTGTTTACCGAAGCGATAATAGATCAAATGAAATGTACAAACAAGTAGATAGGTCGGTGGATATCAGTAGCATAGAAGGAAAGGTAAAGAACAAGTTCAAATGGTCGTGGCTGGAGGAAAAGGATGTAAATGGTGACTTTTTATTGGACTTTGTGTGGAAAGTGGACAGGCCAGGATATGCACTATGCACGTGGTTAGTAAATTTTACTTTATAGATCTATTAAAGTTTATAATCATTTCTTGTACTGGAGTTTTAGAAAATCGTTAATAATTTCTTAATTATCATTCAATGACGTAACTGATCAAGACGGCAAATCAAAGGATCAGTATTTGAGAAGTCTCAAGAATACAGACAGATCCAACCCTGCCTGGGATAAATGACAGCCCCCGACTGGATCACTGGTGGAGAGAGGTT